AAAAATATAAATATATTTTTTTTTTTTTTTTTTTTTTTTTTTTTTATCATATATTTCATAATTTTGCAATAGTAAAATTTATAATATATTCCTTATGATATTCATATGTATCTTATTATTTTTTTTTTTTTTTATTATTTTCTAATTTTTTTCAATAATATTTAATACTTTATTTTATATAATTATCTTTATATGAACCTTTAAATATCATATAATAATGTTCATTTTAATCTATACCTATATATGAAAAAAGGAATATCTATTAAGAAAAATCCAATTATGAAATGGAACTTAGCTGTAATATAAACATCTGTATATACATCTTTATATTTTCTATCATCAGATTTGTTCATTTTATTTTTGTAATTTTTAGATGTAAAGGAAAAAAAAGGAGACAAATAAGATGACACAGACGGGGAAGAAGACAATGAAAAGTATGAAGATGAAGTTGACAAACTTTTAGAAGAAAAATTTTTTGAAAAATCTGATGAAGAAAATGTTGTTTCAATAGTATCTATAGATGTATAGGTGGAGAAAGATTTATTAATGTTACTTTTTATATTATTATCTAAAGGATCGGCAAAATTTGTTATTTTGTTTTCCTTAAAAGATTTTATATTTGTTTTATTAAAAAGATATGAATTTTTTTTTGCATGTGATTTTGTAGGATGTGTAGAAACTGAATTAGAAGAAAAATAAAAGTTTTCACTGCTACTATTGTTACCTTCATATATTTTGTGATTTTTCTTTTTAATAAGTAAATTAGCTGTTTCATCATAGGAATATGATTTTTCTATATTTGTGTAAATAGGAAAGTAAAAACCAAATAAAACTAAAGCAACAATTACAATAATCAACATTATATATGTGTTCTGAAAATTATAAAATTCAAAATCCGTTACTATTTTGTATATACTCGTTAAATGAGAATACATAAATATCAAATCAATGAGATCAAATAAATTAATTATATTAACATCAACACTTAATATATTTTCATTAATAATTTTGTTATCTAATATATTTTCTAAAATATTTCTACTTCTTAATGAAAAAAGTAAATAAATAAAAGGAGTCATATAAATTAAATTATAAACTAATACGTCATTACTTAAATATAATAAAAAAGTATTATTATTTGTATATTTTCTAGAATCTTTAATAAAAAAGGAAAAAATTATCATTTTCATACTTAAAGTCATCATATAAATCATCCATTGAATAGAAATCTTTACTCCTGCATTGTTATTATCATAAACACTACATACAATATATAAACACAAAAATAAATCAACAACTAAAAATATAAAATAGTGATAATTTTTTGTATAATTTGATATTATATATAATAAAGAAATCTGTTGTATTAATACTAAAAACATAGTAAATAAAATATTTACTATTTCCTCCTTTTTACTTTCCCACATTTTAAATATTATTTTTATTTAAAATCTATAAATAAAATATATTATTAGAATAACCTAAAATTTTTAATTTCATAATTTATAGCTATAATTAATTCATTTATTCTATATATATAAAAATATACAAAATAATACCTTAATATAAAAATCGAAACACTGAAATTCATATATAACACTCTTTCATTTATTTTCAGTTTATTAAAAGGTACATTTTACAAATATAGAAAATAAAAAATTCTTCATTTATCTATAATTCAACCATTTATTTAAATTTTATTAATCTAATAAATTAAAAATTAATAAAAATATAAAATAAAAAATAGAAAGATATATCTTTTATAATAAAAAAGAAAAAAAGAATTTCAAAATAAAATAATGAAAAATAATATATCTTTACTTAGTTATGTTTAATTACAAAAAAAAAAAAAAAAAAAAAAAAAAAAAAAAAAAAAAAAA